TTGTCCCAATTGGGTTTTCTCGGGGAGGTCTTTAACGAGGCGACACAGGGGACACCTGGAGATACTTGCGAAACAAGTTTATCATACCAGCCACTCCATACGTCCTCCCGACTGGCATGACAAAGGGACTGGACTAGCGTGATCTCCAATGTATGAACGGCTACGGCCATCTCCAATGTATGGCCACGACCATCTCCAATGTATGAACGGCTACGGCCATCTCCAATGTATGAACGGCTACAGCCATCTCCAATGTATGGCCACGACCATCTCCGATGTATGAACGGCTACGGCCATCTCCAATGTATAAACGACTACGGCCATCTCAACGTGTAAAAGGCTACGACCATCTTCAACGATATTATGGCTAAGGCCATTGACGTCGATAAGTCGACCCAGCTCGACTACGATGGCAAGTAACTCGACGACAGTAGAAGTTACGCATATGGATAAGGCCATCAACGATATTATGGCTAAGGCCATCGACGTCGATAAGTCGACCCAGCTCGACTACGACGGCAAGTAACTCGACGACAGTAGAAGTTACGTATATGGCTAAGGCCATCAACGATATTATGGCTAAGGCCATTGACGTCGATAAGTCGACCCAGCTCGACTATGACGGCAAGTAACTCGATGATAGTCGAAGTTACGTACATGGCTAAGGCCATCAACGATATTATAGCTAAGGCCGTCGACAAGTAACTTGACGACGATCGAAGTTACGCCCACGGATAAGGCCATCAACAATATTAAGGCTGAAAATAAAAGGTACAAAAAGAAAAGAATAACAGCAAAAGTATAACTTCCATTATCATCCAAAAATACATTTACAAAAGGACCCATTTACATCTCCAAATACAGCAAAACAAAATGAATACAAGTCCTAAGGGGCTTCGCCATTCTGTTCACCGTCCCCCACCAGACCGCCATCTCGTCCACCGCCGTCCTCAGCCTGATAGGTTGCAGAGATCCAAGACCCGGACCCTAGACGGTTAACATCTTCGGAATTATAGCCCGCCCGTTCTGGGGAGTCGGAACTATACCCGCAGGCTTCACGGGCAACCTGAGCTATACGCCGTTGAGCCTGAACCTCCGCCTCAGTAGCTCGACCCGCAGCCAAGAATTCCTCGAACACGACTAGCTTGGCCTCGGCATACACCCACATCTCACGCGCCTCGCCATACGCATCCTCATAAGACCTTGACGCAACAGACTGCTTAAGGGCCTCGATCTCAGCCGCCTTGGCATTAAGCTCGGCGGTCAAGGCAGCGACCTTGGCTCGCAAATCAGCGGCTTCCGCCGCTACCCCACGGCCGACCTCCAGTTCTTCTTCCTTTGACTGGAGAAGAGTCTCCAGCTCAATGTTCCGAGCCAAAGCGGCCATTAGCTGCTCATCAACTTGCTCCAGCTCAACCACCCTTTGCTTCAGCTGGGCCTCCGACTCCTCCAAACCCTCATGGAAAACCCGAAATTTCGGGTCCTGCTTGAGTAGGTCCGCCAACGCCTGATTCTTGACACGGCACCGCCGATATTTCTTTACCACTTTGCTAAAGGTGGTTGTCTTCCTTTGCGCTCGCCGCCCCCTCTCTACCTCCAAGATGAGAGTCTAAAGAAGAGGAAAAAGAGGAAAGGCAAGTCAGTATGCACCAAAATTTACTTTACGATACATGAAGAAAATCAAAAAATACCTACAAGGCCGCGCCACCAACCCTCCGGGATAGTTCCGCGTCGCTAACACCTTTTAGCATTTCACGCTCAGTGGCCGCACATAGCAGGGTCATATCTGTTGCGGCCTGCTCGCTGTGTTGCAACAGGTTATACCCTCCTGGGATCAGAATTCGGCGGTTGGATCTACCTGCCGTCATCCCCAAACGGGCCGGACCCCGCGTAAACGCATCTGCATCCGCATGGGCGGCTTCAGGGCCCACCCTCTCAGTACCGTCGCCCGCTTCTCCAACGGCAGCCGACGAGCCGCTCTCCGGAATACATGTTGGGCTGGCATCGGGAACTGCCCTCCCTTGGGGAGCCGACCTCCCGGAATGGATGGCATCTGCCATAAAAACTGGCCTTGACTCCCGACGGGGCTCGCTCGCCCCCTCGCCTTCTGTGGCTATCCCCTTGCCAGTTATCAACCGGCGTCTTTTCCTTTCCGGCGGCTCCTTGCCCTCAGAAGTCTCCTCCACAGGCCGCGGGGATGGCATTGAAGGAGTCGCTTCACTTGTGGACACCGCCACGGGCAGCGGTTAAGGAACCTCCGGAGCGCCATCACTGGGCGAGCCACAGGGTATGAATCTATCTTCAGAGTCAGTCCCCGCCCCAGGCGAGGTAACGACACTTTTCTTCTTCTTCTTAGGGGCGCTCCGACCTGCCAACACGAATAAGTCAGGTAGCAAAAACGTAGGAAACCTCCAAACCGTAGCCAAAGAGTTACCTGGCGGGCCGTATCTTTCACGAAACGCAGCCCAGGTGCGGCATTCCTCCGCATACGGAATCATTCTCTCCACCCACGATTTAATATTTTCAATGAACTGGGGTGGAGAAGCCCTCGCTGCGAATAAAAAGGGGGGAAAAGCAAAGAAATCACAATGGCCGTATGGTCAAAAGCGCAAGCAGTCCTGAATTCTACAAGTAGAAATACTTACGTTCTGGATTCCATCTTTCCGGGAACCCTTCGGGATTCGACACCAGGTGCTCCGTCCTGATGTAGAAATATTTACGCCAAAAGCGGCGGTTGGTCTTGTCATCGGCTTTAACAACCAAGCCCCTTGTGCCACGACTTTTTAACTGCAGCATGGTACCCCTCAGGTAACCAGGGCTGAATAACTGTAAGAGGTGGTGGACCGAGACGCTGCACTCAGCCCTGGCCGCATAAGTGGTCATGATACGACACACCTTCAAGGTGTAGGGAGTGAGCTGAGCCGGACACACATTGTAAAAACGGCAAAGCTCCTCCACCAGAGGGTAGATTGGAAGATTGTAACCGATCAAGAACGGGTATTCATAGAGTGTGCAGTACCCAGGCCGGTGCACATTGGCATAGTCCGTCCCGTCCGGAACCATTTCCACGTGGTCCGGAATATGGTGCGTCTCTCGAAAATCATCTAAGTGGGATTGTAATAAATCGTTGTGCTCCCAGGGAAGGGTTGGGCTTTTAGTTGGAAAATCCCTGCGAACATGCATCTCCTTCGGAAGGACGTTGTCTACACTGAGAGGAACAAGGGCCTTCTCTGCCCTTTCCCTTTCACCATCGGAAGATGGCGGAACCCTAGACGGGACATTATCTTTGGCCTTTTTACTACTCTGTCCACGTTTTGTCATGTTATCCTACGTAAGAAACGAAGCACTGACAATAGGAAGTGTGGTTTCAACAGAAGTGGGAGAGTCTCGCACGAAATAGCGGTTACTAGAAAGGAAGGTAAAAAAGGAAGCCAGAAAAGGTTCTCCAAAGGTTCGAAAGATGAAATGGGTTGAACCTTCCCTCTATTTATAGGGTTAGGATGCACAGAAATCGAAGGGGCATGATTCAAAACAGGCGCGGGAAACCAGAACATCACATCACCCTCTGAACTGCCTCGGGAGTAAGTATAATTATGACGCATGCGGACGATGATATCATTCAAAAAGGGGTCCACACATCAGCAGCTCAACGATGCCATATATTTCCCCTCATTTACGTCGCCGCCCCCATAGTGAGGTCAAATTTTCTAAAGATGAGGTCTGCATTTCCGCCCATTGAAGACGTCTACTGGATACGCCTCCAACGAGCAGAGGGACTAACTGTATGGGGTCAAATTTGGCCCTCAACGTCTCTACGCCGAGGGTACGTCCAGTAAGTATACGTCTACTAAAGTATGGGTACGGCTTGGACGTAAGGACGAAGGCGACGTCAGTTAAAACTCGGCGTCCTCGCTAGGAGGACGTCGACCACTTTTTGTACTTTTATAATTATTTTGAAGAAGGCCTCCCATTATATAAAGGGGACCTTTCCATTGTAAAAAGGCGTCAGAGTGATTCTTGAATAATACAACTCTCTCATTTTCTGACTTTCTCTCTCTATCTCTGTCTCAAACGAACATATTCTCTTGAGTTCATATTATCACTTTATAATACTAGATCTACAACAATAACATCATCTTTACATCTCTAGGTCTATTATATTTGATTACGATTTACCCTTTTCTTACTTTTGATTGTTTTCTAGCTTACAAAGTATATTGTTAACTTTTGAGCTAAACAAAAAGGTCTACACAGAAATGAAATTAGATATCATCACTTGATTGTATCCTTTTGCAGACTTTCTGATTATTGTAATTTGCGCATTCTTTTGAGTAAAATTTTTAGAATTGTCTGGAAAGTGGTTGGTGATTATCATCCAAGTCTATATATATAATGTTGCTAAAAAAGAACATAATGATGTATTGGAGACTTGTGAAAGCATTTATTGAAGAATATACTGCAGATTTTGCCACCAAAATTCCTTGTTGGCAATTTTGAATATCTACGTGGATTGCATAAAATTAAATTATTAAATTATTCAACAATGAATTGATAAATGGAATAAAAGAATATTTAATGCCGAATGACGACTCATAATGTGTTGATAAAGAAAATGCAGAAGCTAAAAACTATTCAGCAAGAATCCTACAAATGGCTCCCCTTAATATATGTGACATTATTTAATTTTTAAGGAGCAGTATAAGTTGTACTATCTTATTTTGAGAAGAATTCAGCCATTCAGGTATTGTGAAAATCTAGACATCGAAAATCTTTGTAGGAGCGATTCCCCTTTAATAGGCTCTACGCGGCACAAATCCGGTTTAATTAGACCCAATGCCGGTACCAAACGTCATGTAGAAAACCAATATGTATATATACCCCGCACATAGCGGGAACTTAAGTGCACCGGGCTGCCCTTTTATACACACACAATGTTTTTAAACCTATTGTCCTGAACGCCTACTCGTGTGTAACAGAACTCAAAACCACTCATTTTGATGTCAAGAACTTTTTCCATCATGAGGATAAAATAAGCTGAAACATGTGGTGCAGCTTAGTCCCTCTCCTGGCTTTCATTTCAGCTACAATATATTAACAACTAAAGCATTTGCAGAAACAGGCAACAATAAGCACTCATAGCAATTTTAAGTGCAATAGAGCAGCTGTGAAATGCCTATCAGAGACATTTGCAAAAGAAATACAGAAGTGTAAACTATCAACTGCCTGAAGGTACCAACAGTTATTATTTCATTTCCCTTGCAGCACTGAATATTTTTTATGTCTACTAGCAGTACAATGTGTCATCTCAACCGCTTGCTATGTTCACTTGAGAACAATCAATAATCATAAACAAATGCAATGATTAACGTTTCTTGATCAGTAGACTTCAACATGCCATTGCTTGTTCTTTTTGAGTTGTGAAAGCTTCTGCTCCCAGCTCTCACCTCTCACCTCAGCAACCCTCTTCAGGGTATCTTGGATTCCGGGCATCATCCCCTTCAACCCACAGAAATAGATGTGGGCCCCTTCATCCAGCAGTTTGAAGATCTCATCACTGTATTCCTCAATTTTATCCTGGACATACATCTTCCCCCCTTTATTGTTCTTTTGTTCACGGCTAAGAGCACGGTCATATCTGAAATTGCCTGGGTAGTCATTGAGATACTTGGTGAACTCATCGTCATATAGAAGGCTGTCAGTGTTTGCAACCCCAAGGAAAAGCCAAGCAAGGCCATTAAACTTAGTTGGAACCGATTCCATGAACATACGACGAAGGTAGCCTCGGAAGGGAGCCACACCAGTTCCAGTTCCAATCATGATGTGCGTGGCATTTGGATTATCTTCTGGTAGAAGCATTATCTTACCAGAAGGACCTGCAGAAACATCCAAAGGGTGGTCAATGGCGGACAAAACTGAATCTCAAGTATTTCACCCTATATATGCAACCCACCAACAAATTATAAGAATCCAAGAGCCAAATGACAGAGACTATTTAGATGTGAAGTATCACAATGAGTTTTAATTCTCAGAAGGGTATCTTATTTATTAGAAGCACATGATTAGAGCAAAAGGTGACAGTGTAGGAACACCATTGAGTTAAGAAGTTCTTTATTGGGAAGTTTGTAACTGCAAAAGGGTTGGTTATACCAATGTTAAATCAAGAAGGACCATACAACAGACTAAGGGAAGGGTCCTTTCTAAATAATAGCAAGGAAATCACTAGTACAAAATAGGCATTTACGGATTTGTCATATGAACAGAGATAGTCAAGGTAAAAAATTCAAGAGAGAGTGCCAGACAAAACTGTGATGCTTACTCTCAGGGGTTGTTTGATTACCGGGATAAGAATACTAATACCGAGATAGAATATGGGATTGTATTTATCCCATATTTGGTTGTGGGTATTCGTTAATGGTGGGATATATTTTATACCAAAATGGTAGGATTAGCCATCCCATATAGAAGGTGGATAGCTAATCTCATGGGATATCCTTGTTTATCCCACAATTGAACCAAACGACCCCTTAGGAGAAAAATAAGCATAGCAGCTGGAATTTACAAGTACACAAGGAAAAGGCATATATCTTCAATCTGTTATGCGTACAACCTAAATGGTCTACTGAACAACATAATTTCCTGTTGACAAGACAATTTTCAACAGTATGCTGCCTAAAAGGCACTTCCTTTTCACTCTTTTGAAATCTTGGGAAAACCTACTCATTGGGCCAAAATGCAATTAATGTGATCAGAGATGAAAATTTTAGAATGCAATGCATGGAAGACGAGTAGTGTTGATATGTAAAGTCTTCTTTGAATAACATCGGTAAAAGGACTATTTGGATTTAACCTGTGATCTTCACTTTGTCACCAGGCTTTGAGTCACACAGAAAGTTGCTGCAAACACCATTTTTGGAAGGGTCTTCTTTTCCTGTCTCAGGATCATAGTAGACAGCTCGTCTGACACACAAGCTGGCCGTCTTCCCATCAAAAGAGTCCCCATATCTGGTGGATGCAATTGAATATAGACGAACATTGTGGGGACTGCCTGGTTTCTTAGGATTTTCACCCTGAAATGAGTTAAGATGTGAGGCTCTGAAAGACTGATGGTCGTAGAAATTATACTCAGCTATTAGCAAGGAAGAAGACGAGCTTGTTATTAGAAAAATCAGAAAATTAGGTTAAAAGCATGATTACAGCACATTTTCTATTTTCACAATGCGAATGAAAAGCCCAAACCACAAAAAGGTTCAGTTCTAATATTAACATGCATAAGCTTCATTTCACGTAGGCCAGAAGTTAATAGTACCAATTAACAAAGCATCTTACAATGCAGGAGCTGACATACATTAATCATTTACAGCATGACAGTGCAAAGACTGGATGTAACACAGTACAATTTTTGGGTCGACTCCTGTCTATTGGGATGTCAAAAGGGAAAAGTAGCAAAAATGATAAAAAATTAATTGATGGAGTAGGAAATCTTTGAGACATGCCTGCAACTGTGTCTTTTTATTGCCATCAAACAAGAAATAAGCACTCATTCGAATAGACAATCAAGCAAATGAAAGAACATTACAGCCAACATATTAATGACAAATCACAAATGTCTTGCTACTAACAACAACGCATGTGGTTGTCCTTCAAAATGGAGTCCAACTAATGGAGGTGTGTGTAAAGCAAGCAGGAAGAGAAGACATGGATTTCATTCAAAAAGTTATATGACTGATCATATATAGATTCAATCAAGGCAAAACGACAAAGCTTTTCAAAAGAATAATGGAAATATGCAGCCAGAACTTACAGGAGGAATGACACCATAACTTTGTCCTTCCCAGTAAGGAAGGTTGCCATCATGATCAATGACAATATGACAAGTCTCCCCAGGAGCTTTTGGGCCTACAAGCCTCTCAACTGAGACAATTGTCGCTGTGTATGGTTCCCTGGGCTTGTAAATATTCAATGGTGGTTCTTTTGCATCTTCAAGTGATAAAGGTGAAACTGAAACTTTGGCTTTGCTAGCTTGTTGCACCGACATGCAAACAATGTGTTGGTTTCTCGATCGTGGTGCTTTTAGATCGATAGGCGGTATAGAGATCCATGATGATCTATCACTAAATGTTACGCTTGTAGCCTGTAACAATGAAATGCATAATTGTACTCTTTAGTTGAGTCGAATCATTTTCAAACTGTTAGTGAACGTATAAAACATGTGACTAAATAGATCAGGAAACACATACACAACTAAATATGTGGGTATCAACTGATGGAAGCAGCAACAGGAAGTGTATATGCTTTCCTACTTCATTTATCTATCCTCTTATGCTATAGAAGGTCTTTCGACTCACATGATTTTTGTTCTTTATTCATTTTCTGGTTTAGTTTATCTCACCTTGGTGCATGTTGCATTCTCTGTCAAATAATTCTTTTACTGATAAAGAAGGAATACATGTTCTTGAATGCAGAAAGATATATGCACCAGAATTATGCAAGGAGAATCTAAAAACTATAAGGTCACCAATATAGGATACGATCATGCTGATACATATACCAATACATATTTTTGCAACAAAAAGAACAGAAATGAAGAGCAAACGTGCTCAATCGAAGACATCTAATTGACTTATGACCACAAAGCACCTGACGATGCATAAGTTACTTATAAAAAACATATTTTAGGATATTTGCCTATTTAGCAGACTTACAAATTAGAATATGCAAAAAAGTAGGCTTTAGCACATATATGTTGATCAAAGAAAGAGCATCCCGCATATAGAGAGAAAACAAACTCCTCTCTTCACATTTTCTCAGGTGATTCTTGACTGAACAACTTAGAGACAGGCTAAGAGTTATGTAACACGTGACATCTGCATTTTTTCAAGAAAAAGGATATACAGAAGCGATATCCGTGAAATAATTGAGTGAATATGCAGGAATCGAGTTACTCCCTTGGAAATTGCCGATGGATATTCGAAATGCAGATCATAATATTCTTCACACTTACGACTTAGACTCAAGAGGAATAAGTAAAAGCAACACTCAAATACAGAAGGAATTAGTCATGAAATTCTCGATTACTGGTTACAGGATGGAAAAGGTTAAGGGAAGCAAATCAATTGGGAATAATTAAGATATTTAGCATGATAGAACCATTAAATTTTGGTCTTCTGATCTACACGAGCATGAAGATGGAGCAACATTAGTTAAGAGAAGATTGAGCAAGCCCGAGCGTACAAGACAAACATGTTGATACAAAATATCATTTCATTAAATCTTCCAAAACTTAGCACATTGTTGAAAAGCCTATTCTAATCAAGATTGATTTAAGTTTGCATTGCAAGGAGGGAGGTGGATGGGAGAGGAATAAAAGATAAATGGAAAAGAAAAAAGGGAGGAAAAGGCACATTGACTGTCACATCCAACAATTGGACCACTCAACATGTAATTGAACCCATGTTACACATTCAGACACCTTAGCCCTACACCATACAATTGTCCATCAAACTTCTGATGTAACCAGTTTTCAACATCTCAAATTCAAAATAACTCAAGCTAAGACAGCTGCTCCCTCTGTCTCATTTGATGAAGCACACTTTCCTTTTTAGGTTGTTCCAAAAAAGAATTGACACTTTTTGTATTTAGCTTCTCACTTTAGCTTAATAAAATGATTTACAGTCACACAAATGTCTATGGTTTGACTCAGATCACAAGTTTGAAAATCTTTCTTTTTCATTAAATTCCCTGTCTAGTCAAACACATAGATTGAGATGGAGGAAGTACTTTTTTCCGAAAAATCTTTTTTTTTTTTTTTTTTTGGTTTCTAAGAAAAACAAATCAAACATATATCAAGCAAATCCAATTATTTGTAAAGTCAAGGTACAGTTCCATCAAGTTCATATGTTAGGACATGGAAATAAATAGCAAAAAGTAGAGATTATGAAGAACCTTAAAAGTAGATCTTCTAAAAGATGAATCCGTTTGCAGAGGAACAGTAACTGACACCTGCATGCATAAACGGAAAATCTAGTCAAAATCCAAAGTACCCTCTAAAACCCAATACAAAAAACTAACAACTGAGACAGGATGGATCCAGAATTTGAAGTCAAAAAATGATCAAGTTGTACACATTAACAGTGGGTACCAACTTAATATAAATCGAAACTTTTTTAAAGAAAAATGACCTGAGAGAGAGCTGAATGAGCCATGATGGGATCAAATGATTCTCTCCTGTGTTTGTGGGTATGGAGAAAAACTCTGAAAGGAAAAAGGGGGACAAGGGTTTATATAAATAGAGGGGGTTTTTTTTTCTAGGAAGAAGAATGGGCAGGCTAATAGGGGCTGTGTTAGTGAGGGATTGTGGTGAAGTGATCCTTTGGAGTTTGGGAAAGGACAACACTGTTTGGCTCTTCAGTGTTTGATTTCAATTTTGTGAGCTTTTCTGCTGTTAGGACTTGGATTATTAAATAACAATTGTATATTTAGTTTTCTTATAATTAAGGAGGTCAATGCTAATTTGGAGAAGACTGTAATGCTAAGATTGTTTGTATTTTGAGATTACCGATATTTTTGTCTTTTAATACTCTTAATCTAAAGGGAGTTAAGGTAGTTCAATTTTAGTCCAACTATTGATTCCTCTTAATATAAGATTTTTTTTTTAATATAGTGACAAAAATGAGTCGAAAATTACTTTAGGTCATAGATGTTACACTCTAATCTATTAATTAATAATCATATATTCTATCACACGTAAAATGATACAAAGATGCAATATAATTTAATGTAAGTATTATTTAATATCGACAATTAAGCACTGCAATAATTATGCAACGAGTATTTTTTCTTATACAAGTAACCAAATAATACGTAAGTATACAGAAATTATTTTTTTACTCTCCAACTAATGTTGTGTCATTTTATGTTAGAAATTATTTTTCTAATCACTTCCACCAAAAACCCCTAGTTGTTTTTGGGAAGGGTAGAGGAGAATGGAAGGGACAAGAAAGTGTTAATATATTGTCACGATTTAAAATCCCACCTTTAGGATCGTGATGGCACCTAATCTCTACGATTGTAGCCCGTTTGGCCAAGCTGCAAAAATCAGCTTATTTGAGAAGTATTTTTTTCAAAAGTGCTTTTCTCAAAAGTACTTTTGGTGAGAAGCAGCTTGTGTTTGGCTAATTAGTTTGAAAAGCACTTCTGAGCAGCAATTAGTGTTTGGCCAAGCTTTAAAAAACTGCTTCTAAGTGTATTTTTCTCAAAAGTGCTTCTCAAAAAAGTGCTTTTGGAGAGAAGCTACTTTTTTCTGCTTCTCCAAAACTGCTTCTGCTTCTCCCCAAAAGCACTTTTTTTCCTTCCAAAAGCTTGGCCAAACACCTCAATTTTTGGCCAAAAGTGCTTTTGGCAAAAAAAAAAAGCACTTTTGGCCAAAAAGAAGCTTGGCCAAACAGGCTATAGGTAAGCCTATCACACAACAACATAAGACAAGATATAACAATTTAATATTAAATAAAATCGAGAATAATGGTCCAAAACACAGCCAATATCATAATACAACTTTTACAATCCTAAAATCCGGTAATACAGAGTCGTAAGCTCTAAGGAGAATACAAAAGACATTCCAAAATACAACACTATTTTGGATTACAATCAAACAATAGCATAAATAAAGTAAGATGGTGACTTTGAAGCCTGCGAATGGAACGATAGCTATACCTTAAAATCTCCAACCGCACACGCACAACTCTCAAAATCATCACGATTCGAGGTACCTGAATCTGTACAAAATATGTAGAAGCGTAGTATGAGTACACCACAGCAGTACCCAGTAAGTATCAAGACTAACCTCGATGGACTAGAGACGAGGTAAGTCAAGACACCCACTAGACACAAAACTTGTGCAAGATATTAACATAAAGCTAATAATGGCAGGAACATCAATATAAGGCTAACACTGGAAAGATTATTAATATAAGGCTAACAATGGAATAATAGGAACAACAAACGGCAACAAGAAGTAAGCAAGTAATAAAGCAGCAAAATAATAAGAACACAATTAAAGTATGAATGAAATCAATTAAAGAAACAAATGACAATTCAAGAAGTCAAGTCGTTCCAACACATGATTTACAACAAGAGTTACACTGAGGCACCACACCTCATAATCACAAATCATAAGCAACAATCACGAATCTTACACACATGGCACCTCGTGCCACATTATCAATCACCTTCGAACGATAAATATCTCATGCCACAACATAAGTCTCACTCGCATGGCAAAGTCCACGTGCCACCACGTACATCTTATCTGTGTCAATTGCTATTAAAATATTCCAAGGATTCATTTAAATGAAGTAAGACATGATGACAATTTAAATAAAATAAGCATCAAATGAGATAATGAGTATATTTTAAGAATTCAATAAAGTAAAATAAAATACAATTTTTAAAAAGTAAAGCATCAAATGAGATGATGAATTTAGTTTAAGAATCAAGTAAGGTACGGTAAAATAACAAGTTAAATAAAGTAAAACATCAAATAAGATAACAAGTTCAATTTAAGAATCAGTCAAAGTAATAATAATTTTAAATAAAGTAAATCATCAAATATGATAATGGGTTTAATTTGAGAATCAACTAAAGTAAAGTATGATAGCTATTTAAATATAGTAAAGCACCGAGTGAGATAATGAGTTTATCTTAAGAGTCAAATAAAGTAAAGTGTGATAATAATTTCTTTATTTAAAACTGTTATGTTACCAACAACTCAATAAAATATGAGATGATAACTCCACGCAAGTAAATTCATCTTGACAACCAATTCACCAAGTAACATGGAGGCACAAATTAGCACATTTAAGCAACAGAACAATCATGTAAAATGCATGACTCACATAAAAATATCACAATTGTTCCAACACAAAATAACAACAAGAGTCACCCCGAGGTACCACACCTTACAATCACAATACACGAGCCATAAATCACAAATCTTTCTTATATCGTCGTGTGAGTCTTGCATTTATTTTTAAAAATATTTTTTCCGAAATAGCTTCACGCGCTTTAGCCCCCTTATATCGCTACGTGTGCTTCAAATGAAGTACTTTTCGTTACTAGCATCACGCGCATAAATCTCCCTTATATTGCTGCATGAGCATCAATATCACTACCCTTATACCGCCGAATGCGCATCTCATCACAACATAATAATCAACCCATACCACACGTGCCCATATGCCATAATATTTTCACAACGATAATATCAATGCCACAATATTTCTCAAACAACAATACCAATGCCACAATAATACATAACACACGACTCAACAACAAGAGTCTCAACGGCAACACAAAGAAATGGAAGAATAAACTCGACCATGAAAGATATTCCATATAATAATAACCTCAAATAAATGCACAAGAAGAAACTCAACAATAAAAGATAATCCATGTATTAACAACTCAATTAAACGCATACAAGAATAAACCCAATAATGAAAGATATAACATGTAATAACAATTTCTATTAATGCATGAGAATAAATTCAACAATGAAAGATATAACATGAGATAACAATATTAATTAATGCATATAAGTAACCTAAGAGTCTAAACCGGTCAATTCCATATATAAGCTTGTGTACACACTTGTCACCTCATGTACACATCTTTCACATAACTTAGATAGTGCAATTAATTCAAATTCTAAAGGGTAATTTTTCCACACAAAGTTAGGCAAGATATTTACCTCAATTAGGCTAATTCATCACTCAAAAATACCTATTCCTTTAAAATTTGCCTCTGCATGGCTCAAATCTAACAAAAAATAACTTGATATCATCAAACAATGCAAGAAAAATCAGTTCCGATAATTAAAGTTAAGATCTTTACACAATTCTCCAAAAGTCAACAAAAGTCAATCCCGTGCCCGTCTGGTCAAACCCGAGTCCAAGGCTAGATCTCGACTACCCATAACCCTGCGAATTCATATATATGTTTTGTTTTCAAATTTGAGTCCAATTCGACTCTCAAATCTAAAAATTTTATTTTCCGAAATAGAGATAGAAGTTTCCAAAAATTTGCTTAGATTCTCATGAATTAGATGTTAAATCTCATAAATAATAATGTAATATAATGGAAATTGGTTCAAAATCACTTACCCAATAGTTGTATGTGAAAATCCCTCCTCAAAATCTCCTTCTACCGAGTCTAGGGTTCTAAAATGTGATAAATAAAGCTAAGTCCCGAAATTCCTCTATTTTGATCAATTGCAGAAGTCGCAAATGCGACCCAGGTTTCGCAAATACTAAATATCTATCGCAAATACAACATCCGATGAATCCCATGAAAAGTCGCAAATGCGACCCTGACTTCGTATTTGCGAATTCAGTCCCTGTTCAAAAGAGATCAAGTGATCGCAAATGCGATCAAGCCAGCCCAGGTCTCCCATCACAAAGGCGAACCATTTATTTGCAAATGCGAATCACCCAGAGCCAGTGAACCTCGCAAATGCGTTTCCCACCTTGCAAATGCGAGGTCCGCAAATGCGAACAGTTTCTCGCATTTGCGAGACCTGAGGCACAAAACATGAACCAGAAAAACTAAAGTATCCCAAAAACACTATGAAACGCGTCCGAAACTCACTCGAGCCCTCGCGTGCTATACCCCATATTTTCATATGTAAAAGTACGTCGTAAGTAAACTGATATAAGCTCAGAAATGAGATCATCTTTGAAAGTATATAAAGTAAGTTAATCATATTACATTGGTGGTTACAAATAGTTAAAATCATAAACAAAACGTACCAAGAGGGTTGGAAGGTTTAGAAACAAAGCAAATTGAAGAAAATAAATTTCGTCGAAAGTCGACAAGTTGGGAATGTTATGACCCGTACCTTTGGGGTGAGACTAGGGTGATTACCATGATAAGAAGTTTATGTTATGAGTTATTTTAGTTTCATGATATTCGTGTGTTATGTTTTGAAGTCAAGCAAGTTGTGGAACAAAAGTTGGCAAAGGTCATCACAAGTTACATTCATAAATGTGCTGAAAATTAGGTCAAATATAGCAGAGCTTTTCTATCAATATAATAAAAAGTACGGGGTGATCCACCTACCAAATTGAAGATCTATGAGTCTAGTTTTCAATGTATTAAATTGTTCATCAATACGACATCGGAGTAGAAAGATATTTGTATTTTTGCGAGACTGCGCAGACAGCATATGTGACAAGTAGGTGTGGCATCTACTTGCTTAAGTGAAAGAACCAAATATGTCCACAAAAGGGGCTAGTTGGGGTCGGCCACAGAGCCCTTTTAAGGGCTGATTTTTTCATATATTCCACTCATTATAGATCCAAAATCAGAGATAAACCCCAGCAAACTTCTCCCAAATATTCAGCACAAAACCCTAAAAAGATTTTTTCTTATTTTCAAG